GGTGTATTAACAGCTGGCATTTTACCTCTTTACTTCCTGAGTCTATACCAACATCTAACATCTGAAAGGTTGCATTCCCACCTCTATTATATAGTATTAGCGGTTAGAGCAATTGCTCAGGTGTTTCAGGGGCTCTCATATTTGCTTTATTCAATTCATCCGCTCTTCTGTGTTTCAATGCTCTCACAAGGCCGCAACTACAAACTGCTCGCAACCTGAATATTGCAAACATACCTTGCTCAGCATGTTTATCCACAGATATCAAAACTGACAGAAGGCCGTGGATCGTATATACAACCAACGTGGCGTAGCGCATGCTCCGGCGAATAATTGACATGACGCGTGCGCGCTATAATAGCCTGCCGGAGAGGGCGCGTGCGCGATCGACCGCACGTTGGCTTTTTCGCTCGTTTTCACGCCATATATCTCTGGAACGCAATCGTTTCAGGAAAATCGCCACATTCGTATCCATCTTCGAGTTGTTCACAACCCGTTGGTATCACCCATTGGCCGGTTCGTAGCCTGTAGTGCGAGAACTCGCGCGGACAGACAGACAGACCAAGTATAATGAAAAGCACTTAAGTGCAAACCCTCGTCGAACTGCGCGTGCGCAGTACCACTAATTGATGGGCTGTTTCTTTACTCGTGGTATCCCGCTAGTAGCTCGCGGAGAGTCTGACACGGGCTAGCTACAGTAGTACATAGCAAGCGGGAGTTGATACATGCCCTTCGTTGTGACTTCTTGTGCCTTCAAGATACACAAAGCGAGCGGACGCGGTCGGGGTAAGCCTGTGCTAATTAGCATATTAGCTCCTTGACTTGCTTTTCACGCCATAACTTTTTAACGCAGTAGTTTTACAAAAATCGCCTTTTTTTAAATCAACCCAGTGTAGCACTGAACCCGATCATATCGCTATTTACCTGATTTCGTGCGCGCGGTGGCAGAAAACGTGGTAACAGACAGACTGACACACTTACAGAACAACTACCGTAACCCTCGCTGCGCATGCGCGCCGAGGGTTAATAAAAAGCACTAAAGTGCAAACCCTCGGCGAACTGCGCATGTGCTGTACCACTAATTGATGGGCTGGGTTTTTTATGCCTTTACTCGTGGTATCCCGCTAGTAGCTCGCGGAGAGTCTGGCACGGGCTAGCTACAGTAGTAAATAGCATGCGTGAGTCGATACATGCCCTTCGTTGTGACTTGTTGTGCCTTCAAGACACACAGAGCGAACGGACGCGGTCGAGGTAAGCCTGTGCTAATTTACATATTGGCTTGTTCACTTGGTTTCCACGCCATAACTAAACACAGTAGTTTTACGAAATCGCCTTTTTTTAAATCAACCCAGTGTAGCACTGAACCCGATCATATCGTTATTTACCTGATTTCGTGCGCGCGGCGGCAGAAAACGTGGTAACAGACAGACAGAGAGACTAACACACTTACGGGACAACTACCGTAACCCTCGCTGCGCATGCGCGCCGAGGGTTAACAAAGCACTAAAGTGCAAACCCTCGGCGAACTGCGCATGCGCGGTAGCACTAATTGATGGGCTGGGATTTGTATCTTTACTCGCTAGTAGCTCGCGGAGAGTCTGACACGGGCTAGGTATAGTAGTAGATAGCATGCGGGTGTCGATACACGCCCTTCGTTGTGACTTCTTGTGCCTGCAAGATACACAGAGCGAGCGGACGCGGTCGAGGTAAGCCTGCGCTAATTTGCATATTGGCTTGTTCACTTGCTTTTCACGCCAAACGCAGTTGTTATACGAAAATCGCCTTTTTTTAAAATGAAGCCAGTGTAGCGACGAACCCGTTGGTATCGCTATTTTGTTATCTCTTGCAACTGTTTAAAATACATAATATTCAATTAGAGTAGAATTGTGTATAATATAGGCCATCAATGTCAGCCTTTACCAGCTTCACTGTCATCGGACAGAACACCACTATGAACGGCCTGGCCATCTTTTTGAGGGCAAATAGTAATTAGTATAGCTATGACAATATACTTATACCCATGAATGTGGTGCATATTTTTATGACAAAACATTTGCGAAACACCCGAAGAAACACAAAAACATTGTTGAAATGTAAAATTTGCATTACTGAGGGAGGAAGATTAAGAGAAAGAGAAAGTACGGGTTATATTATATAGATTTTGGGAAGGCTTTTGTCCGTGTCACACAACACATAGCTAATCCCTCATACATCAGAAATTAATGTGGACCTACTCCAGCACAATAGGGCTAGCACGACTCCTCATTAGCATAGTATAATATACAAAAGTAAAGACTGTTGGATTGAGAAGCCGCTTCACTCCCTCCCACCCACAGCAGTTTGAGGTGTCCTATGTGTCGCGTGTTGTAGTTCAACGTCAGTAAATAGGCTTGCTTTGTTTGTGTAAGCACCAGTCATTAAGGGAACTCCTCAGCAGATCATCGTGTAGCTAGGTAACAGGTTTTGGTCCCTTTAATCTCCCGACCTGTGCCTCACTACCACTGAGGAGGGACCATGTCCTCATAAAGGAGTCATTAGTAAGTATGTGGTAGGTTTGTAGGTTGATAGCTGTTCAGTGGTTCAGTGTGTTTGTCCTGTTGCATAGCCTCAGCGCGCATGCGCAGCGAGGGTTGTACTGTCATCACTTTGTCTGTCTGTCTGTCTGTCTATTCGCACTACAGGCTACGAGGAAGCTTATGAGCGATACCAACAGCTTCAGCGGTACAGGGGCTAGAGAAATAAAATGGCTGAAACGACCGCGATCGAGAACGAGAAACCGGCACGGTCGCGGACCGCGTTGCGTGGCCCAGCCCATCAATTAGCGGAGCGCATGCGTTTTATACGCGGTCCTCCACGCGGCGCGCACAGGAAAAGCGAGTGTGTCTAAAGCCAATATCCCCATGGCTTACGTCGACCAGGTTCGGTTTAGCTAGTGGAGGGATGTATGTGCAGTCCAGAACCGCTCGCTACCCACTGATGCAGCTAGCCTGTGTTAGGTCGAGAAACTGGCTCCTTCAACGACTCATATACAAGCCCAGGCCATAATACGTAGCTTACGTCAACGCTACAACGCGCGCGTTTTGCGCCGTGGGTTTTCACTTTTGTGCTTTTCATTTGCTACTGCAGTGGCATGTTTTACTACATTGGACGTAAGTAGGATACCTTTTCATGCTTAGAACATACCTGTTGGTTTCTTGTTTTATACTTTCATAAACACATATAAACATCCTTTTCGGTGCTTAGCGAAGCTAAAAGTGAAAAGTTGTTTTGAGTGAAACCAAGGCTATAAAGAGGGGAAATTCGAAAGCAAGAGCACAACAAGTTTCTTCAATAATGCTGCTATCAGTATTGCTTTTGCATGGGTGCTTTTTAGTGGGGAAAGCCATAGAGGAAGGCGCATCTAGGGCTATTGAGAATGATAATTGTACCCGATACTTGTTACGAATTCCTAAAGACGGGAACTACCTCACATCAAGTAGACATGACTTCTATGGTGTTCAAACTGGGATGAAGGAGAAATCACCCTGTCCTCCTTGGTACCATTGGAGTGAAGGAAATTGCACAAAAGGAAGAATTGTTCTTAAAGCTGTAACTTTTCAAAGCAAGACAGGACAACCTTGGTTAGAGAAGTTCTACTGCATGACCACAGACGAGAGTGAAACTAGCAAAATGGGAGGTTGTCTCACTTCTGTCTTTCATCAATCATTTTCTAGATCCTCCACTCCACTGCCTTGTAATATCTCCAAACTGAATAAGTACATGTGTGGAGATTTGAACAGAGAGGGCCAGCTCTGTGGAAGGTGTGTGAAGGGGTTTGCCCCACCGGTTTACTCATACTCCCTCAGATGTGTCAACTGCACTGACTACCATCTCAACTGGCTCAAATACATCGGAGTAGCCTTTGGCCCACTCACACTGTTCTGCCTCCTCATCTGTCTCTTCCACATCAGTGCAACCTCACCCTACCTTCATGGGTTCGTGTTTGCTTGTGAAATTATCACTTCTCACACGTTCATGAGACTCATAGTTAATAGCAATGCCTTCAATCATGGAAAAACTTTGATTCTCTTATCAAGGGTGTATCTAGGTTTGGCGAGCATTTGGAATCTGAATTTTTTCAGTGAAGAATACGAGCCATTCTGCCTCAATCCCCACATGACAATTGTGGAGGCTCTTGCTCTCAATTATATGATTGGACTATATATCCCCTGTTTCTGGTGCTTGTGGTGTTCCTATTTGTCAAAATGTACTGTAAGGGTGTAACTCTATTAGTCAAAATTTGGAGTCCATTCACAGCAGTTCTTAGACCGTTCTTACGCAATCTTAACATTCAAACATCTCTCATTGAATCGTTTGCTACGCTGTACTTCCTGTCAGCCATGAAGATACAGAGTGTTAGTATTGATCTGTTAACACCTACAACTCTTTACTTTGTCAATGGAACAAAGAGCAACACATATTACCTGTACTTGGCTGGAGACGTGGAGTACTTGGGCAAACAACATCTTCCATATGCAGTTCTTGCTCTACTACTTCTAACATTCTTTACACTTTTCCCTGTCCTGCTTCTCTTTCTTTACCCTTGTCATTTCTTCCAGCAATTCCTGAATAGCATAAGGTGCAATTTTGTGACTCTGAGGACATTCATGGATGTCTTTCAAGGAAACTACAAGGATGGAACTAACAATACGAAAGACTTGCGATTCTTTTCTGGCATAGTTTTTTTGTGCCCGGTTCATAATAGTAGCTGGTTTTCTACTGCTGAATTCTCCCTTCTTTTGGATGATTTTTGCAGCCACAATTACAACACTTGGCTTTAGTATAGCTGTCTTTCGGCCACAAAAAACATTCATACACTACCTTCTGGACCTTTTGGTTCTTATGATGCTATCTTTTGTCGTATTTATCTTGATTGGACACACTTTACCGGACAGTAACTCCATATCCAAAAAAATCGACAACGCTTTTCGCGTTATAGCCCTGAGTTTACCCATCCTCTATATTATATTGCTCATGGGCTACTCGGTTTGTATCAAGAAGAAACTTCTCAGACCCTTGCAAAAGTGCCTGGGGCAGAAATGTAGCAGGTGTTTTCAGAGATTTTTATCAAGGCAAAGGCCCTTGTCAATGTACAACATCATATAAGAAGATTGTATTTTGAGAGTTTTCTTGTGTGCTGAAGGTCAATTATTCCCAACAAACTAAGTCTTGTTTTGAAAATAATCACTATAGATATCATCTATTCTGACTCATTATTGCATAAGTGGGTTTCTCACATTTGTATTTTGCCGTCAAAAGAATGTGGCGAGACAAAGAAGGACTTCTTGGTTATAAAGTATACAGTACCAATGTAGCATGGACAAGGTGTGTTTCCTCTAGGTTAAAGGTTTGTAATGCGTCTGTTTTCTGAGGAACATGAAAGTTATGGTTATAGGCTAAAAACACTTTCAGATCAGTACACGAGCATTTTTTCCCAGGTGAAATGCACCCGTGCAAGACACTCAACTTTTTCCTTAGTACACTGTTCATAAGGAAAGTGTCCTACACAAAAAGTGAAGAAAACATCCCAGTTTCAAACATGCATGTTGTAGCTACTTGTGCAAACCTAGCTATGTGTATATAGCTACACCGAAACCAGGTATTGTGCTTTTTGACTCATGAGTATATTATACATATGGGGCCTGTACAGTCAGTAGAGCTATGGGGCACTTGGGAGAACTTAACATTAACATGAGAGAGAGCATTAACATATCATCATGTAGTTCAACGTCAGTAGATAGGCTTGCTTTGTTTGTATAAGCGCCAGTCATCAGGGGAGCTCCTCAGCAGATCATCGTGTAGGTCACAGGTTTCGGTCCCTTTAATCTCCCGACCTGTGCCTCACTACCACTGGGGCGGGACCACTCCCTTGTAAAGAGGTACGTTTGTAAGTATGTGCGTTAGCTGTTCAGTGGTTCAGTGTGTTTGTCCACTTACAAGAGATGCATAGGCATTTTTTTGCTACTGCAGTGGTAGTTAGCTATAATTGTTTTACTACATTGGAGGTAAGTGGATTAGGTAAGATACTTAATTCATGCTTAGAACGTACTTGTTGGTTTCTTGTGTGTTTTCACGCTGTTCTACATTGGTGCACGTATAGTTACTGCTCTGCGCGATATAATTTAAATGGGAAGTGGGTGGTTGCTTTTTTTGTGTAGTAGCTACAATAGTAATACCCAGAGGTGAATGTGTGTGTGTTGTTTTGTGTGTTGTTATTGGGGAAAGAAGAGAGAGGTAAAGTGTAGGCAGTGACTAAGAGCTGACGAGAGAGGGTGGGCGGTTTTTTTGTCGGCCGTCACCGCATGCACCACCAGTGCTTACATGTAAACCTATCCACAAGTTCCAGCAACAATCAGGGCAAAGTGCTAGTCGCTTTTTTTACTGGTCATCAGGATTCCCAATCTTTTTACCAATGGTCACACGTGTTTTCTGGCTCTTTAAACTCCTGACACGTGAGACACTCCAGAAACGGGCGAGCCACTCCCCCCTGGTTGGATCCAGATTTGCCTAGTCCGTGGCTACAGTTATTGTACTTTACAAATAACCTACATGAACATAAACGGCAATTTTAGCAACACCACCCATATCCTTAGTAATACCTTGCTTTCATTGTCTTTGGTCTTCTCTATTCTTCACTTCTTTCTTTCTTCACTCTTGCTCCTAACTGAGCTACTACAGGCTGGCTTGGCTGTTTTATACCTTGTTGTGGATGTTATGTCTAACTAAAGTCAAAACTTCCCATGCTGTTAATTAGTGTGTGTGTGTGTGTGTGTGTGTTTTGTATGGGTCTCTAGTCGTCCTCGTAAGTGATACGCAAGGGGCCTACCACGCCCCTTCCTCTAGCATTTGGGAGGTGCCGGGCTGGAGGCACCTCGGACTCTTCGCCCTGGCACGTGATCTCGGGGCATGGCTAATATGTAGTAGCTAATTAAATGGGCGCAGCCCCGGACCTTCCGCGGTCATGCCCCGCCCCGGCCAGGTCACGTGCCAGCGATATGCAACTCCACTGTTTTGGGGGCCCCTGTAATAAGGGCCGGCCCCGGAGTAGAGGACCAATCCAGCCCGGCGTCACACCGTTGGGCAGCCAACGGTGGAGGTGTACCTACTTGACTACAGGTGGGACGGTGGGAAAGCTGACAGCTCGCTTGCCTGCGAAATCTGCAGACTGCCCGATATTCGGATTCGCCGTTACGCTCGCGTACGCGCGTCCGTGGCGACGCGCGCGCGGGCTGGCCATGCACCGGCTGGCCGTCCGTCCTCCCGGATTTGTCGGCGTCATCAGAGCACCGGGCCACCAGACATACACTCAAGCTATGCATGGAGTTACAAACCGCAGTGTGCTTCCACATATTATTTGGTACATGTGCTACATTACTGCCACTACCTACCCCCAAACCTAACAGCTAGCAAACCTTGCCCCTCTGCCCTGTTTGTCTGTCATCTATATAATGTCCAAAGTGTATGCATCATTAACTGTTGACTCACTTCTACTCTACTTGGGGATATACATTGGGAAATATTGAGCTATTATTCTACTCTATGGTTTCTGTGTCATTTTATTGTATACTTGCAAGGGCACCTAAGTTATGGAGGTAATAGGGGAGGGTAAGGTGCTAATGTTAGAGCGGAACAGTATGTCTGTGTATGCACTAAACATACAAGCAAAAGAGTAAGACATGGATGCCCAGCCTTGAGAACTGGGGACGGTGGGTTAAAGATTTTTTATGGCTAGCCAACTCTCCCCACATATCCAATGTCACAGACTCTCATGTAAAATCTACATCTTACAGTACTGTATTGAAGTAATTACAATCCCATACCATGGGCTCTCTGGGGACTTGACTTGCAATCTACTAACGCAAAGTGGGGTATTTATAGAGGAGAGTTGTGATGTCATAGATATGGAATTTCCTAAAGGGGAAGTGGGTTTGTTACTTTAGCATCATGGGTGATGTGGGGGGTATAGGAAGAGACAAAACTGTTTTGGGATTTAGATAGACATCTAGGGTGTTTAGGTAAACAGTTATGAGAAGACCAGGGTGTCTAGTAACAATTTTCCTACACGAGCGTAGCTAGCATTGAGGCAGAGGGGGCAGTTGCCTCCCCTGTGTTTGCCGACTTACGAATAATCTCTTCGCCGTGTAACCAACGACAAGCGCCAGCAGCGAGAGCATGCAGTTAACACTGGGTTACATCAACCAAGAGCGGACATATCCTTACATACCTACCAACATGCAGGGATATATTTCCTTGGGCCTTGTATCTATTTTCCTTGTTTATGATCAATTTTCCTTGTTTATGATTTATGATCTATTTCCCTTGATTATAATAAACTGACTGGTACAAGAAGTGATGGTACACTATAGCAGTCAGTTTTTGTAAAGTATTATAATCAAGGAAATTAGATCATAAACAAGGAAAAGAAATACACACTACACAGCATCAGCACTTTGCTGCTGAAAGTTGGTGGAGGTCAAGGGTCACGATGTGCGCGCGCACGATACGTGCGACGGGCCGCCAGCAGGCCAAACACGCGCGCGTCCGGTCCCTGCGCGAGCGCAGCACTTCCCGGGATTTATGAAAATTTTCCGGGATACCGGGATGCAACCCAATTTTCCGGTATATTCGCGGGGTTTGTAGGTGTGCCTTACAAGCCTGGGATAGCTCCCGGGCATCGCCGTATTGCTCTGGCCTTCCGCGATCATCGCGAGTAAACGCTGACATTGCGCAACATTATTGCGCATGCGCGCAATTAATCATGAATAATAAATACTTATTCGCCTCCCTTATGATTAAATCCTGGTTACGCCCCTAAAACATGATGCTGTGTGTGTGTGTGTGTGTGTGTGTGTGATATGTGTGATAAAAGTGCTTTTCAATGTCCCTTTTCGTTTATCATGTTCTAACATAAACATCCTTTTCGGTGCAAGATATCTACTAGGTTTAGCCAAGCTAACAGTGAAAACTTTTCTTGAGTGAAACCAAGGCTATAAAAAGGGGGAAATTTGAGAGCAAGAGCACAACAAGTTTCTTCAATAATGCTACTATCAGTATTGCTTTTGCACGGGTGCTTTTTATTGGGAAAAGCCATAGAAGAAGATGCATCTAGGGCTATTGAGAATGATAATTGTACCCGATACTTGTTACGAATTCCTAAAGACAGGAACTACCTCACATCAAGTGGACATGACTTCTATGTTGTTCAAAATGGGACTAAGGAGAGATCACCGTGTCCTCCTTGGTACCATTGGAGTGAAGGGAATTGCACAAAAGGAAGGAACGTTCTTAAAGCTGTAACTTTTCAAAGCAAGACAGGACAACCTTGGCTAGAGAAGTTCTACTGCATGACCACGGACGAGAATGAAAGTAGCAAGATGGGAGGTTGTCTCACTTCTGTCTTTCATCAATCATTTTCTAGATCCTCCACTCCTCTGCCTTGTAATATCTCCAAACTGAATGAGTACATGTGTGGAGATTTGAACAGAGAGGGCCAGCTCTGTGGAAGGTGTGTGAAGGGGTTTGCCCCACCGGTTTACTCATACTCCCTCAGATGTGTCAACTGCACTGACTACCATCTCAACTGGCTCAAATACATTGGAGTAGCCTTTGGCCCACTCACACTGTTCTGCCTCCTCATCTGTCTCTTCCACATCAGTGCAACCTCCCCCTACCTTCATGGGTTTGTGTTCGCTTGTCAGATGATCACTTCTCACACGTTGGCGAGACTCCTAGTTAATAGCAATATCTTCAATCCTTTAGATAATTGGAAAACTTTGATTCTCTTATCAAGGATGTATCTAGGTTTGGTGAGCGTTTGGAATCTGGATTTTTTCAGTGAAGAATACGAGCCATTCTGCCTCAATCCCAACATGACAATAGTAGAGGCTCTTGCTCTCAATTATTTGATTGGACTATATCCCCTGTTTCTGGTGCTTGTGGTGTTCCTATTTGTCAAAATGTACAGTAAGGGTGTAACACTATTAGTCAAACTTTGGAGGCCATTCACAGCAGTTCTTAGACCGTTCTTACGCAATCTTAACATTCAAACATCCCTCATTGAATCGTTTGCTACGCTGTACTTCCTGTCTGCCATGAAGATACAGAGTGTTAGTATTGATCTGTTAACACCTACAACTCTTTACTTTGTCAATGGAACAAAGAGCAACACATATTACCTGTACTTGGCTGGAGACGTGGAGTACTTTGGCAAACAACATCTTCCATATGCAGTTCTTGCTCTACTACTTCTAACATTCTTTACACTTCTTCCTGCCCTGCTTCTCTTTCTTTACCCTTGTCATTTCTTTCAGCAATTTCTGAATAGCATAAGGTGCAATTTTGTGACTCTGAGGACATTCATGGATGTCTTTCAAGGAAACTACAAGGATGGAACTAACAATACGAAAGACTTGCGATTCTTTTCTGGCATATTTTTTTGTGCCCGGTTCATAATAGTAGCTGGTTTTCTACTGCTGAATTCTCCCTTCTTTTGGATGATTTTTGCAGCCACAATTACAACACTTGGTTTTAGTATAGCTGTCTTTCGGCCACAAAAAACATTCATACACTACCTTCTGGACCTTTTGGTTCTTATGATGCTATCCTTTTGTCGTATTTATCTTTATTGGACTCGCTTTACCGGACAGTAACTCCATATCAAAAAAAATCGACAACGCTTTTCGCGTTATAGCCCTGAGTTTACCCATCCTCTATATTATATTGCTCATGGGCTACTCGGTTTGTATCAAGAAGAAACTTCTCAGACCCTTGCAAAAGTGCCTGGGGCAGAAATGTAGCAGGTGTTTTCAGAGATTTTTATCAAGGCAAAGGCCTTTGTCAATGTACAACATCATATAAGAAGATTGTATTTTGAGAATTTAGTTTTGTGCTGAAGGTAAATATATTCCCAACGTACTAAGTCTTGTTTGATATCATCTATTCTGACTCATTATTGCTTAATTAAAGGTGTTTCTCACATTTGTATTTTCCCGTCAAAAGAATGTGGCGAGACAAAGAAAGACCTCTTGATTACATAATTATTTCCCAACTGGTGTGAGTATATAGCTGTACAATGCCAAGGTAGCATCAAAAAGGTGTGTTTCCTCTAGCATGTAGATAATGCTTCAAAAAAATAATGTTTTCTGAGGAACATGAAAGTTATGGTTATAGGCTATAAACACTTTCAGATCAGTACTTGAGTGTACACAAGCATTTTTTCCCAGGGGAAATGCACCCATGCAAAACACTCAACTTTTTCCTTAGTACACTGTTCATAAGGAAAGTGTCCTACACAAAAAGTGAAGAAAACATCCCAGTTTCAAACATGCATGTTGTAGCTACTTGTGCAAACCTAGCTATGTGTATATAGCTACACCGAAACCAGGTATTGTGCTTTTTGACTCATGAGTATATTATACATATGGGCCTGTACTGTCAGTAGCTATGGGGCACTTAACATTAACATGAGAAAGAGCATTAACAGCAACTTAACATAAAGGCCATTACCAGCAACTTAACATTAACGCGAGAAAGAGCCATTGCTATATAGTCATTCCAAAATCAACTAGAGGTGTTGCACGTCTGCCCTGGCGTGTTTTCCATGTCTACCACTCCACGTATATAAGGCATTTGCTTTCTTGTAAGTGCCTTTGGTATTCTCACTGTACCAATGAGGACATAGTAAAGTTTTGCCGTCACAGTTCACTGAAAACAGAAGAAAATCTTGCAGTCGTGAAGCGACTACCTCTAGAGAAGCTGATGATAGAAACTGGTAAGCACTGAGCAATGATCACAAAATGGTGGCTTTATATAAGAGCCTATATCTCTGCTAGCCAGTTTCTTCTATTCTGAAGTCAACATGAATTTTATTTTGCTCAATGAGATAATGCATACAGTTTTGATTTTTAATAGCCAGTGATTCTCACCTTCATTAACAGCGCCAGTAATATGAATTAGGCATCCTTCACTCATCAATAAAAAAAGATACATCTTTACGTCTCTTTCACAGTGACGATTTATCTCAGCCTTGTAGCTACTTGCCCTTTTATAAAACGCAATAAGACATGAAAGTTGCAGTTTCTAGGCAACTCTCATTTTTAATAGCCAGTGATTCTCATCTTCATTAAGAGCGCCAGTAATAAGAATTAGGCATCCTTCACTCATCAATAAAAAAGAGAAACATCTTGACGTCTCTTTTACAGTGACGATTTATCTCAGCCTTGGAGCTACTTTCCCGTTTTATGAAACGCAATAAGACATGAAAGTTGCAGTTTCTAGGCAACTCTCATGCTGGGGGTGGACTTTTCAGGGGAATTGTTGTCAAACTACCCATTCCTAATCTCGTAAGCAGTCACACCAAGATATGGGCCACCAGGCATTTCTTTACATACCGTGTGCATGAATTGAAGAAACTGATCGCATTCTCTCAGGTGTTATACTGTGTCTACAACCACAGGCATTTTGGGTTTGCATAAGCAATCAATGGGTGAACCCCACAGTGCCTTTTACTCTAGAGGGAAATTGTGTGCAATTTTGTGTTTCCCAGCACACAGCAACAAAAAAAATGTTGTAGCTAAGACACTTAAACGAACATTGATGTTGAACGCAGTAAACGACAAACTTGTTTACTACAATAACAGTCTATTAAGTGCTATTTAGCACATCTTATAATTCTTCATGTCATTAAGTGTAGTTATGAGCATGGAAATTTAGACTTTGAGTGTTATATAGAAGTCAATTAATATCCATGTACAATGTACAACATGTCATTACTAAGCTATAATTATTCATTGTACATCCTACTCAGTACACTGGCGTACGTCATTTTACATACAACTCCACCAGTTCAACAGCAACGGGGGAGCCATAGGTGCATGCCCTCAGTTCAATGTCATCATTGGTTATGTGGTCGAGGGTTTTGGTGAAATATGGAGGATTGTGATGGGAACAGCAGGTGCTTGTATGATGACAATCTTCTCCATCCCACAGAGTGTCATTGACGTGTAGCCTTTGTTCGTTTTGCCCATCATAATACCCAGGGTACACATAGCCAGATTCACAAAAGTAGTCTTCTCCGACAAACGGCGGGGGTAGTTTGGTGAAGCCATGCAGATCACATGGGCAGCTATTACTGCTATCGCTACGACTACTATTTTCCCGCGACCCAGCAGCAATAGTCCAAATGTGATGCCGAGGTTGTCTGCCATGGAACACAGCCACACCATCAAAATAAGGATCATCAACTGTGCTCATTGAGTAGGTGAGGGAAAACCCAGTGGGAATTTTCCACTGGTATGCTCTGATCCTGCCTCACACATGATTGTATGGTCCTCCTCCCACAGGAAACGAGGCCGAGTCACAACTCCCTTGCCTCCCAGAAAGTCCACGGCAAGTTCCCTCTGAGTGCTGTGTCAATGTCCAGCCAGAAGGGCAGGCTGTATTTGGGTCTGTGAAGTTCAAGTAGACTGCACGTCTCCATCCTCCAGAGTCTCCACATGTGTGTACATGAAGAGATTGGTCATAGAAGGCTTGGTTAGAAGGAATTTTTACTAACGGTTGATGAAGATCGGGTTGAAGTTTAACATACATCTCAACTAGCTCTATAGCTATATTATTTCCATACTCAAAGTCACACATCCTTAGCTCAAGGTCATCAAAAGTGGTTTGACTTAAGTTTTTGGTGAAAAATGAAGGATATTTTAGAGTGCAACATGTACTGGTGGACAGACAGTCTTTCCCATCCCATAGTGTGTCATTTATGTGGAGTTTCTGCTCCAGTAATGAATTCCTGTACCCAGGGTCGACATAGCCAGACTCACAGAAATAATCATTTCCGACAAATGGTGGGATACTACTGTAGGTATTGTCACAAGGACAGTTGTACCAACGTGATTCTGGCTCAATTCTCCATGCATTTTCCCATGATCCAGCTGTAAATGTCCATATAATGCTCTCGAGGACTACCATGCATCACAGCTACACCATCAAAGTAGGCATTATCAATGTCAGTTAGTCCATATCTGTATCCTTGAAAGGCTCTTGGAACACTGAATTGGTAGGCTCTTATTCTACCACACACCTGATTGTATTGGCCTCCACTGACAGGGAAGAAGGCTGAGTCACAAGTCCATTCAATGCTTCTTGACCTAGTGCATGTTCTTTTAGAAAGTCCAGTGAGTGTCATACCAGGCGGACAGTCAGTGCTGGGGTCTGTCATATCAAGGTAGACTGCACGTCTCCACCCCCAGTACCCCCACATTGGTGTACGTGAAGATTATTGATGTTGTTTGTTTGATGTGAAAAACTTACTTTTATTTCGTCGTCAATTTCGTGCAATTTTGTTTGAATATAGTCAAGCTTCACGTGTAACTCAACTGATTCCACTGCTATATTGCTATCGTACCTAGAATGAACATTGGAAAGTCTCAGTTCCAGGTCATTGATACTTGTCTTGCTGAGATGTCTAGTGAAGTATGGAGGATTGTGAAGAGCGCAACATGTACTTGTAAAGTGGCAGTCCTTCCCATCCCAGAGAGGGTCATTAGAGTGAAAACTACGGTACTCAGTGCTATTCCAAAATCCCGGCCATATATAATTATCCTGACTCACAGAAGTAATCCTCTCCAACAAATAGTGGTGCTGGTGTTGTGTCTATTCGATTAGTGTCACATGGAGAGCTGAGGTAATGGTATGTAATGTTCTCTAGGCCCCCAGCTGCAAATGTCCAGATGTGTTGTCGGGGATTTCCACGCATTACAGCTACACCACAGAAATATACGCTATCGATTGTTTCTTGTCCAGTCAGATAGAAAGCCATTGGTCGTTCCCACGCATAGGCTTTGATCCTGCCAAACACCTGATTGTATGGACCACTGCTGACTGGAAAGAAGACTGAATCACAAGACATGCGACTCGTGTTAACACTGCCACAAGACCTCTTAGAATAACCCGTGAGTTGCCATCCAGGGGGACAGTTAGAGTTAGGGTCCGTCATATCAAAGTTAACTACCTGCCTCCAACCATTAGTTGTCGCATTCATCTCATACTTATTTATTTTGTTAGACATAGCGTGTGTTGCTTCGCTGACATTCCTTAACTCCGCTTTCACGTCATTAAGATTTCCCCTCACCGCATCATTAAGCCCACTAACCCTAGTATCCAGAATAGCCAGTTCAGAGAAGATAATTATGTCAAGTTTGCTTTCAAGTAAACTGAATCCGTCATTCATTCTGGCATCAATTGAAGAGATGTTTGAGTGAATTTGCTTTACTTTAACAGACACAGTTTCATTAACACGGAGCATCTCTCTTTTCATAAAGTCAAAATCACTTTCTAGTGACATGTTCATTGAAACCACCTTGGAATCAAGTGAAGCAAATGCCCTATTTATCCTCATGTTTTTTACATTCATTTTAAAGTGAAGCACATCAATTTTTCACCAAGTACAGTAACATCCTCTGAGCAACAATCAACATTATACTGCGGTAAAGAAGAATGAACTATAGATCCGGGGTTATTTTTATGTTCTTCTAAATCTTGAACAATTTCATTAACCACCACTGTGAGGTTTGCCAAATCACTTTTATGCAGTTAATGTCTTCTTGAACGTCATTCAAAAAAGACCTCAGAGCTTCATTTACTACTGCAGCGATCCTGTCAGCTAAAAGTGTGTGTATAAAATGAGACATTCAATATACGAAACGGATGGGCCTGACTGATAGAAAATTCCCGCACTGAAACAACTTGGTAGACTCCCTTAACTTGGCAATGATAGCTCTTAGAGTTAGGGTTAAACAAGCGGTTATGCAAAGAGCTAACTTGAAAACCCTTCTGGTACATTACTTTATACTTATGCCTATAATATTATAGTATAATAATTATTATACCAGTTGCATAAGCACTGTTTTTCAATCCAATAACCTGGTCACTACATTTTTACTAGCTATTTCTACCAAACTTACCATCAGTTTGGGTTTGTCCAAGCTTGAAATTCAACACTGCAAATGCTACACAAAAAACTAGCAGGGAAGCACATCCCATCCTAACCTAATTATTGAGAACTGCTAACAATAGTCCAAGAATGGACTGACTGTATTCTACCAGAAATGTTCACTCTTTTGTACTGCTGCTGAGGAATTCCATTGTGCATTGTCCACCTGTTTGCTGATAAAAAAAGAATACTGGCCTATTGTCTGAGTTAAACCTCTGCGTTCCAGCCTCTATTGGCTATCTAGACCTCTATTAGCTATCAAGACCTCTATCTATTTTGTACAGGTGCAGAGGAATTGTATCTTACATTGTTCACCTCGTTGCTGATAGAATACACTAGCTTATTGTCTGAGCTAAATCACTGCATTCCAGCCTCTATTAGCTATAAAGGTATGGCTGCGGAGGAATTCCATTGTACATTGTTCACATGATTGCTGATAAAAATAATACACTAGCTTATTGTCTGATTTAAACCTCCGCATTCCAAGCTGTCTAGACCTCTATCTTGCCCTCCTCTACCAACTGGCACTAGCGGTGTATTAATAGCTGGCATTTTACCTCTTTACTTCCTGAGTCTATACCAACATCTAACATCTGAAAGGTTGCATTCCCACCTCTATTATCTAGTATACCACTCTCTACTAACTGGCACCAGAATTCTATAGACAACATCATTCTAGTGTAAATGTATGGTGCAATCCCACCTAGTTATAAAGTTTCGTAACTGCTTCTTTACATTTCGTGTCAACTGTTTCTATAAGAAACTGAATGCATTCTCCGGCGTTTACTAAGTTAAATGAAAAGCACTGAAGTGCAAACCCTCGGCGAACTGCGCATGAGCGGTATTGCTAATGGTCTGGGCTATTGGCGCGGTCTCCCGCTAGTAGCTTGCGGAGAATCTTACACCGGCTAGCTACGGTAGTAGATAGCATGCGGGAGTCGATACACGCCCTTCGCTGTGGCTTCTTGTGCCTCCAAGGTACACAGAGCAAGCCGAAGCGGGTCAGGTCGCGGTGGTGTGGAACCAGTTTATAAACGCATGCGCACCGCTTAATGATGGGTTGGGCCACGTAACTCGGTCCGCGACGGTGCCAGTTTGTCGCTCACGAACGTAGTCGTTTCAGGAAAATCGCCATTTTTTCAGGCTCGCGTAGCACTGAAGCGTTTGGTATCGCTCTTAGGCCGCCTCGTAGCCGAGAATAGTCGCGGACACACACACTACACACACAGACCAACTACCGTAACGCTCGCTGCGCATGCGCGCCGAGGGTTAATGAAGTGCAAACCCTCGGCGCGAGTTGTAGCATCGCAGCATGCTGGGCCATGCGTCATCGACGGAGCCAGTAACACGAGTCTCACCGTAACACAGGGTAGTTGCATTAGCGGTTAGAGCAATTGCTCAGGTGTTTCAGGGGCTCTCATATTTGCTTTATTCAATTCACCCGCTCTTCTGTGTTTCAATGCTCTCGCAAGGCCGCAACTACAAACTGCTCGCAACCTGAATATTGCAAACATACCTTGCTCAGCATGTTTATCCATTGATAACAGATATCAAAACTGACAGAAGGCCGTGGATCGTATATACAACCAACGTGGCGTAGCGCATGCTCCGGCGAATAATTGACATGACGCGTGCGCGCTATAATAGCCTGCCGGAGAGGACGCGTGCGCGATCGACCGCACGTTGGCTTTTTCGCTTGTTTTCACGCCATATCTCTGGAACGCAGTCGTTTCAGGAAAATCGCCACATTCGTATCCATCTTCGAGTTGTTCACAACCCGTTGGTATCACTCATTGGCCGGTTCGTAGCCTGTAGTGCGAGAACTCGCGCGGACAGACAGACAGACCAAGTATAAATATCAAAGCACTAAAGTGCAAACCCTCGGCGAACTGCGCATGCGCGGTAGCACTAATTGATGGGCTGGGATTTGTATCTTTACTCGCTAGTAGCTCGCGGAGAGTCTGACACGGGCTAGGTATAGTAGTAGATAGCATGCGGGTGTCGATACACGCCCTTCGTTGTGACTTCTTGTGCCTGCAAGATACACAGAGCGAGCGGACGCGGTCGAGGTAAGCCTGCGCTAATTTGCATATTGGCTTGTTCACTTGCTTTTCACGCCAAACGCAGTTGTTATACGAAAATCGCCTTTTTTTAAAATGAAGCCAGTGTAGCGACGAACCCGTTGGTATCGCTATTTTGTTATCTCTTGCAACTGTTTGAAATACATAATATTCAATTAGAGTAGAATTATGTATAATATAGGCCATCAATGTCAGCCTTTACCAGCTTCACTGTCATCGGACAGAACACCACTATGAACGGCCTGGCCATCTTTTTGAGGGCAAATAGTAATTAGTATAGCTATGACAATATACTCCCGAAAAAACACAAAAACATTGTATTACTGAGGGAGGAAGATTAAGAGAAAGAGAAAGTACGGGTTATATATAGATTTTGGGAAGGCTTTTGTCCGTGTCACACAACACATAGCTAATCCCTCATACATAATAGTAGCTGGTTTTGTACTGCTGAATTCTCCCTTCTTTTGGATGATTTTTGCAGCCACAATCACAATACTCGGTTTTGGTATAGCTGTCTTTCGGCCACAAAAAACATTCATACACTACATTCTGGAACTTTTGGTTCTTATGATGCTATCCCTCGTCGTATTTATCTTTATTGGATTCGCTTTACCGGACAGTAACTCCATATCAAAAAAAATCGACAACGCTTTTCGCGTTATAGCCCTGAGTTTACCCATCCTCTATATTATATTGCTCATGGGATACTCGGTTTGTATCAAGAAGAAATTCCTCAGACTTTTGCAAAAGTGCCTGGGACAGAAATGTAGCATGTGTTCTCTGAGATTTTTATCAAAGCAAAGACTCTCGTCGATGTACAACATCATATAAGAAGAGGGTTTCTTGTGTACTGAAGGTAAATATAATATTATTCCCAACATACTAACTCTTGTTTAGAAAATAATTATTATAGATATCATCTTTTCTGACTCATTATTGCGTGTTTCTCACATTTGTATTTTCCCGTCAAAAGAATGTGGCGAGACAAAGAAGGACCTCTTGATTATAAAGTATTTCCCAACTGGTGTGAGTAGCTATACAGTGCCATGGTAGCATCAGCAAGGGGTGTTTCCTCTAGCATGTAGATACTGCTTCATAAAAATAATGTTTTCTGAGTAACATGAAAGTTATGGTTATAGGCTATAAACACTTTCAGATCAGTACTTGAGTGTAGTACACAAGCATTTTTCCCCCGGGGAAATGCACCAATACGAAAACACTCAACTTTTTCCTTAGCACACTGTCCATAAGGAAAGTGTCCTACACACAAAGTGAAGAAAACACCCCAGTTACAAACATGCATGTTGTAGCTACTTGTGCAAACCTAGCTCTGTGTACGCCGAAACCAGGTATTGTGCTTTTTGACTCATGCATGAGTATATACATAGGGGCCTGTACTGTCAGTAGCTATGGGGCACTTGGGAGAACTTAACATTAACATGAGAGAGAGCATTTAACAGAAAGAGCATTAACAGCAACTTAACACTAACGTGAGAAAGAGCCATTGCTATATAGTCATTCCAAATAACTAGAGGGGTTTCACGTCTGCCCTGGCATGTTTTCGATGTCTACCACTCCACGTATATAAGGCATTTGCTTTCTTGTAAGTGCCTTTGGTATTCTCATTGTACCAATGAGGATATAGTAAAGTTCACTTCACTAAGCAACTCCCCTCAGACTCAGAAAAATAGACTCTCAACAATTGAACAAGTTGGAGGGAGAGCTAATGGTGACAGTATAAGCAGGAAGCAATGGGTAATGAGGAGAAAAACCTCAGACAAAAACGGCTTTGGTTAGTGAATAACACAACTTCTAAATATAGCAACACAGCTTTGTTGGCATTTTCATGCATTCTTTCTTCTTTTCGACCCTCCCTTCCTTCTTCATAAAAAATATTGTGAAACTGTGTCCATGTTTACCTACATTCTTTCTATATGCAGGTTACCCAGACCCACTGGTGGACTGCAGCAGTCGCTACCGTCACCGTCTCCTAAAAATGGCAGCTCTCATGTCTCAGACTCTCTGTAATGAACAGTCCAGGAGGAGACGCAAGAGGTAACACTCCCATTAGCTTTATACATAACCGTGTCAATAAATTTCACACTTATATAGCAATATACAACAAAGGCTACTGTTTTCAAAAATTTTCACTACAATACCAGGGTGTGTAAAGAGACCAAATAAGTGTGCACGTGCAGTGTCCAACATGCAGCTATGTTTTTCATACACAAACTTGCCATTACTGACATTGTCTCGTGATACTTTACTGTACATATAATTCCAATATTTCAAAGTTGATATCTTCATCATTTCGAGCTTGGTCAGCACACAGCCTTATCTCGATGTCATCACGTGTTGGGGGAGATATCTCTTTCCTGAACCATGGTGGTGAGTTCCAGTCACAGCAGGTGTTGTACTCTCCACATCCAGCACCATCCCAGAGAGGATCATCTCTAAAAAAGGTAAACTCGAAACGGTTTGGATTCCCAGTGTCACAGAAGTAATCGTTTGCCACAAAAGGAGGAACTGAAGGGGGTGGTGGAGTGTTACGTGTGTTAGTACATGGACACACATCAGTTGGAATTGAATTATGCTCATGGACAGCTGCAGCAAATGTCCATATGTGTTTTCTTGGGGACTCTCCATGCGTTACGCTTATACCGTCAACATAATTAGTGTCAGTTGTGTTGTGGCCACTGGCAAAAGCATCCGGAGTTTTTTGCTGGTATCCAATGATCTTGCCGCATACTTGAGAATACTCTATTCCGTTTACTGGGAAAAAAGTCGAGGAACATCCGGCACCATCAATGTTCATAGCGCACAGTCTGAGAGAACTGATGAGGAGGGTCCTTAGACCAGAAGGGCAAGTACTGTTAGTGTTATGCATGTCGATATAGGCTACCCTCATCCATCCTCCAGTTACATTTTTGCAGCTCCTGTCCATATCACAATACATATGTTGGGAGCTATTATTAGTTCCCCTTATCCAGTAAAGACCTGAGGGAGACTTTGGGGCCAACTGGAGGATCTCCTTGCAGGAGGAGGCAGGAAAACAAGGATTATAGCCAGCGGAAGTATCCGTGAAAGCAGGGTCGGTGCTAGATCTTGAAGAGTTGTTCCAACTGCAGCCTTGACACTCTGTGCAATGTGCTTGTCCATTTCTGCAAATATCTCACTCTTCATACGACCTATATCTTCCTCTATTTTATGCAAATCAGGGCCTAGAGCTTCATATGCGGCAGCAGCAACCCTTACAACTGTTTAAATACATAAAGTTCAATTAGAGTTGAATTATGTACAATGCCTCACCATCAATGTCAGCCTTTACCAGCTTCAGTGTCATCAGACAGAACACCACTATGAATGACCTGGCCACCATTTTGAGGGCAAATATATAGTAATTTGGATAGCTATGACAATACTTATGTGGTGCATATATATTTTTTTATGACAAAACATTTGCGAAACACTCGAAAAATAGAACACAAAAAACATTGTTGAAATGCATTACTGATCGCCAGGGAGGGAGATTGAGAAAGAGAAAGTAGGGGTTTTAGATTTTGGGAAGGCTTTTGTCGGTGTCACACAACACACAATCCCTCATACATCAGAAATTTATGTGGACCTACTCCAGCACAACAGGGTTATATAGCGCGACTCCTCATCAGCATAGTAAAATACACAAGTATAGAATGTTGGATTGGGAAGCCGCTTCACTCCCTACCCACCCACATCAGTTGGAGGCATCCTGTGTCATATGTTGTAGTTCAATGTCAGTAGATAGGCTTGCTTTGTTTGTATAAGCACCAGTCAGAGAGAAGTGGGTGGTTGCTTTTTTTGTGTAGTAGCTACAATAGTAATACCCAGAGGTGAATGTGTGTGTGTGTTTGTGTGTTTGTTATTGGGGAAAGAAGGAAGAGAGGTAAAGTGTAGGCAGGACTAAAGCTAACGAGAGAGGGTGGGCGGCTTTTGTCGGCGTCACCGGATGCAACCAGCCAGGTGCTTACATGTAAACCTAATCCACAAGTCCAGCAACATGCAGGTGCAGTGCTAGGCTCTTTGTTACTGGTCATCAGGGGAGTTCCCAATCTTTCACCATGTCACACGTGTTTCGGCCTCTTTAAACTCCGACACGTGAGACACTCCAGAAAGGGCGAGGCCACTCCACCTGGTTGGAGTCCAGATTTGCCTAGTACGTGGCTACAGTTATTGTACTTACAAAGCTAACCTACATGACATAAAAAGGCAATTTTACAACACCAGCACATATCCTTAGTAATAACTTGCTTCATTTCTTTGGTCTTCTCTATTCTTCACTTCTTTCTTTCTTC